CTGGGACTACAGGCGCCCGCCACAACACCTGGCCATTTTTTGGTTGCAGCCATCATTGTTGTTTGGCGGGCCCGGGCTGGGGATTTGAACCCGCCACCTTGGGTGTATGTGGCTGGCGCCTTAGCCGCTTGAGCCACAGGCGCCGAGCCAGTTACACATTTTTTAAAAGCATATGTTTTATATGAACCAAAGCATTTCCAAATTTACAAGTGCTCTTAGAGGGCTTTATATGAATGATAGTTTAAGTGTGTCCGTCATTACACTTCATGCATTTCTACTAGACCTTTCTTAAAACTTGGGTAATCTGCCAGGTGTGGTGGCTCATACCTGTAATTCCAGCACTCTGGGAGGCTGAGGTGGGTGGACTGCTTGAGTTCAGGAGTTTGAGACAAGCCTGAATAAGAGCAAGATCCTGTCTCAAAGAAAACAAAAACAAAAACAAAAACCTGGCTGGGTGGTGTGCCAGCTGTAGTCCTAGCTACTTGACAGGCTGAGGCAAGAGAATTGCTTGAGCCCAGGAATTTGAGATTACTGTGAGCTACAATGCCATAGCACTCTATTCAGGGTGACAAAGTGAGGTTCTGTGTCAAAAAAAAAAAAAGCCTGTGTAATCAAAGAACTGTATTTTTGAAACCTGCAGTCAGGGAAGAAATATGTTTGGTGGTTTTGGTTGTGGTGAGCAAAGAGAGGCTTAAGCTTAAATAATGGAGACAAAATTATATAGGAAAATTTTTATTTGATAAATATAACTTCATAAACATTAAAAAATTACTGAGATCTGTACAATAAGTATACTATGCTTACTGACAATGCAGATGGTTTTTAAAGAATTACATTAGACAGCCACAGTGTCTGAGGTCCAAAATTTTACACTAAGTATTGCTACAGTATTTCCAGATACTCGTATCTCATAAAAATCTAACAATAACCATGATTACAAACATATCATTAATTAGGATCTATTTTTTTTGGAATATCACTCAAGTTATTTTACGTAAAACAGCACTTAAATGTTTTACTTTTATGAAAATATATTACTCATTTCAAGATAGAAATAAAAATATAAATGGGGACCAAAAATCAAATAAAATGTTTTATATTAATATGACTCTTTGGTGTATTTTTATTAATACCTGCTTATTATCACACCCACAACTGATCTTTATAGGAAAAAACACAAATATGGGAGATTTACTTTTTCCTCCAGGCTCCTAGAGAATTTCAGAGTAGCATATTTTAAATGCTTTCACCTCTGACTTGTCAAATTTTAGTGGCTTTGACCCCTGCCTATTAGGAGTCTCAAGCTATCAGACAAGTTTAATTTCACAATCTTCAGCAGAAATGACCCCTGTCCTAGTCCTGAGTGCAGGTATTTCCTAAAAGGGTGATTCACCTCTGTCTAATGGCCCACATGGGATAGTGCCTGGGTTTTGGTCCGTTCTGGAGGCCTTTGTACACCATAAAGCTTCAGACCCTAGGAGCAGGGCAGTTAGAAAATGCAGACATAAATTCTTTCTTTTTCTCAACTCACAGCACTAGTCTTGGTAGCTGTGTTCTCAGTAGCACACACTGTACTCCTCCCATGGTGAGCCAATGCTTGCTAATGCTCAGACAGGGTGCTGGTGCTGAGTCACTGAAAGCAGCTGGTGGGCAATTTTGAAAACTGACTTGGTGCTTGCCACTATCTTCAGGCTACAGCCTTAGATGAGGCAAAGGCAGGCAAGTGAGATTTGAGAACATTAAATTAACTAGCAATAACACATTTAGCATCTTGCTCTGGTTTTGGCAAGATAAGAGTAATTATTGACATCAGACTTTCCAAAGAATTTTAAAGGAATATGCAAAGGGGAAATATTTCTTGTGATTACTGGTTATGTAGTTTTACAATAAGAACATAAGCATTAGAAAACTACAAAAGCTTGAAGACTACACTGTTACTTTATTAAATCGAATATAACTCTTCCTTAAAATTACAAGATAATCTTCCTTTAAAAATGAAGTAGGTTTTGAAGAATAGAATAAGATGAGCACATCAGTGGATGCTATTTACTTTTTCTTTTCTTTTTTTTTTTCTTGAGACAGAGTCTCACTATTGTCGCCCTGGGTAGAGTGTCATGGCATCACAGCTCACAGCAACTTCAAGGTCTTGGGCTTAAGCAATTCTCTTGCCTCAGCCTTCTGATTAGCTGGGACTACAGGTACCCGCCACAATGACTGGCTATTTCTTGGCTGTAGTTGTCATTGTTGTTTGGCAGGCCCGGGCTGGATTCAAAACCACCAGCTCTGGTGTATGTGGCTGGCGCTCTAGCCACTGAGCTACAGGCGCAGAGCCTACTTTATCTTTTGAAAGAAAGTTTTTAACTAATTTCAAGTGGTGAGTGCAGAAAATTACATTAACCACTCTGTAAGCACCCTGTAGGCTTAACTGATCACCTGTCTAGCTGTGGTTGGTCATAGACTATTTGATGGCAAATAAACACCATCAGGTCAACGTAATGCAAGCCTATGAATACCACTTTGTTATATGTACATTATATAAGATATTCTTAGAGAAAGCAAATTCCATGTTATCTTCCACAAAAATGCTCTACTGAATATTTCTGCAATTTTTCTTTTATGGAACAACAATTGATGAATTGTACATTGTATTATCTCTTTAATGTATTTACAGAAAAACAGATCTTCCTAAACCCAACTCTAGAATTTATAAGTTAAAGGATGGGTATTTTTGAAAATCAATATTTAGCCTGAAATTAATACTCAGTATCCTTGCATACTGAAACAGACAAGTTCAAGAAAATAGTTTGTGGCTAGGCACGGTACTTCATGCCTGTGATCCCAGCACTCTGAAAGGCCGAGGTGGGTGGTTTGCTTGAGCTCAGGAGTTGGGAGACCAGCCTGAGCAAGAGACAGACCCCGTCTCTACTGAAAGTAGAGAAACTACATGGGCAATGTGGTGGGCACCTACATAGTCCCAGCTATCTGGGAGGCTGAGGCAGGACTGCTTGAGCCCAAGAGTCTGAGGTTGCTGTGAGCTATGACACAATGGCACTCTATACTCTATGCAGGGTGACGGAGTAAAACTCTGTCTTAAAAAACAAACAAACAAACAAACAAAAACAAACAAAGAAAATAGTTTGCTAGCAAGCAAAGTAAAGCCTTAATTCTTGTCTCTACTTGTCTCCTACTATTCCTTCCCTACCAGCCTAATTATAGAAGTTTTATATTCATGAAATAGTAAAGGAGTGAAGGGTTATACAAGTAATCTCCAAAAAGGAATTATATTTTTAAGGAAAAATTTGGCAAAACCTCATTTAACTGTTTTTCTTACAATTTTAAATACATACGCATATAGTCATCATATGCATATAGCTAAGTAATAGTTCTTAATCATTTCCAAATCTCAAAATGTTACTTTTTAACAAAACAAATGATTATACTGAATCTATTTGGTAAAATTGGTATGAAAATTAAATTTTGAAAGGCAATAACATATACCTGATTAACCAGTCTTTACATTCATTTTAACTGATTGCTGCCATTATCTGATACAAATTTAACGTTTTAGACTTTGTTTGACTCACATTCCACCACCATGCCTGAAATCATACCTTATGATGGGACTCTGGGCTGAATTCACTTTACTGTGGCAGCCTGTTGTAACTTAGATAACATACGCTAGCTTAAAAATAACAAGATTCTTACCTGAAATCCTTTAATATTTTAAAGTCTAGTTTACAAAATGCAAGAGCAATTCTAAGTTGGCCACAGAAAGAGGCTATTCTTTTTATTAATTTAGTTATCCATAATATTTTGATTTGTATAATTAAAAGTATTTGCAATATTTAAATACCATCCAAACTTATTTATTGATATAGTTGAATTTTACAACATTTTCATAAAATTCTATAAACAGAGCCTTCTAAAGAGGGGGAAAAATGCAAATTTAAATATATTAACCAGATTAAAGCATGCAAAAGACCCAATGAAAAAGATGTTAATAATATGCTAAGGTATTTAATTTACCCACTATAGATTCTTCATATTCTGTCACAAATATATCAGTAAACAATTTGAAATTTGGTGAATGCACCTGATTCCTGGTTTACAGATAAGATATGATAAACCTTTTGTATTTATATGGCTAGCTTTACAGGTCACATTACAATATAGTTAGAGAAATTGGTATTGTATAAATCTACTTCCCATACTGCAGTAAATAATGGTTGGAAATTATTCTCCTAATTTGCTCTGTGAACTTAGAAAACACTAATGAATTAACAGTAGAGGTCACTGAGGGACCAAAATTCCTTATTCATATCAACTTTTCCCATGAAAAGCTTCAAATATAACTCTAATAAAAAAATAGAGTTCTCAAGGCAAACTTTCAGCATAATTTACAGAAGCAGATTTAAATAAAAGAGTCAATAACTGAGCTAACACGAAAAAAAACACGTAACTAGTATTTATCTCTTTTCTACCTTGACATTAAAATGCAGTGGCCTCAGCAACAGGCTGAAATGCCATTAGCAGTCCCATAAACACAGGGACAAACCAGACAAAGAGATGGAAAATGTCTATTCACAAATTTTAACATGTTCAGATTTAAATTAAGGGGCTCATGTTAAAGCTTCCTGTGTGTTTGCCATCTGACTCTGAGTGGGTATGAACTACTCCAGAGATTTCAGAAAGTAACTTCAGAGCTAGTGTGGCCATTACAGGATGATATCACTGAATTTTAGGAAAGGAGGTAAATGGCTCTCACAAAGTACTACTACCCCTTTAACAAGTAGATGAGTCCATTGTGGAGAGAGTCAAGATGCTCCTGTCGTTGGTATAGAAAGGATCCGATGCACTCCATGATCTAAAGTAACAATAAGAAAAAAGTTTGGCTCACCAGAACCTATGTTTCAATTGAGAAAAAAATTACCTTCTAAAACTTAGGACCAAAATGCAAATTGAGTTTGAAATAATTACTGATTGATTCATTTTTAGATGTTGAAGAGAAGTTCTTTCTACTAGTATTGAGTGCTCAAATATTCTATTTATATTATATAAAAACTTGGGGAAAATAATGCTCTAGTCATCATATAAAAATATTAGCCAAAATTCAGACATTTGTTAGCATTAAAATAATTTTTATATGTAGTAAAGCATAAGCTGCTTTTAAAATCTTAGTAATTTAATAAGAAATAAGTATATTAAGAGTTGTGCACATTCCATTTTACTAAAAAATTAAATTTACAAATAAAAATCCCACTTACTAAAAGCTTTGAAATGGAATTTTAGTATGTTCATATTATTGTTCATTTCTTTTCAGCTATAAATTCTATTCTAAAGACTTGAACATAATTAGCTTGAATGTAGCAAATGGTTTATTTAAAAGGTATCAAAGACACCTGTGGGTTACTAGTTTTCACTTAACTAAGATCTTCTACTGGGCTGAAAAAGTCAACCACTGTCTGAATGGTAAGGCCCTTAAGCAATTCATTACGTAACACTTTATTTGCAGCTGTAAACTTAAATTAGCTTGAGTTAATTTAAGTTAAAATAACTCAAGATTGTATGTAGCATGCCATGCTTAAAAATAGAATAACCTAGTTCAAGGACATTAGGATTATCCAGTGAAAGGTGGCTTTCTTGTGAGACTAAAACCATTTAACAATAAAAACATTTTATGTAACTTCTGCGAAGGTTCACACCTTTACTAAATAGAGAAATTAGAGGAAGAGACCAACATTTAAAATGGTCCCAATTCACCTTCATGAAATATCCTTTCCCCCCACCACAGACTCTAAGTTGGCATGTAGTTCAAGTTTAAATCAATTATTAAGTGAGCACAAACAAAATGAAGTTTAGAATTTTGAGGCTTCACAAAATTGGCAAACAGAAAAACAAATAGCAACTATTCCAGTTTTCTGACTTTTACTTGTTTTCAGAAAAGTTTGAATCATATCTACTGCAGTTTAAGGAAGGCCTGTTCAGTACTGTCTCTCTAGCATCTGGAACTGTGTCTAGCACATATTAGGCACATAGCATTTGCAGAAAAATGATTAAAATAAGAATATGGAAATTTCTTAAAGAGTAGGGAAGTATGTTTTTAACTGTAACTTTTAACGTAACTATCAATACCTTAATTATTACCTGAAGTCAAATGTCCAATTCCCAACTGTCAATATTTTATATTGGTTTTTCTTCTTTCCAACCATTGCTTACACAGAAGAATCTTATTACGTAAAGTAATAAGGTAATAAGGTTTCCCTCATTTTTTTTTTTTTTAGACAGGAGCCTCAAGCTGTCCCCCTGGGTAGAGTGCCATGGCATTTCAGCTCACAGCAACCTCCAACTCCTGGGCTCAAGCGACTCTCCTGCCTCAGCCTCCCAAGTAGCTGGGACTACAGGCACCCACCACAACACCTGGCCATTTTTTGGTTGCAGCCATCATTGTTGTTTGGTGAGCCTGGGCTGGATTCAAACCTGCCACCTTGGGTGTACGTGCCTGGCGCCTTAGCCACTTGAGCCACAGGCGCCAAGCCGGTTTCCCTCATTTTTTATCTTTTCAAAGCATACATGTACATTCATATATTAAATATCATTTTGACGGAACATTCAACGCCTGAATGACACACTATTAATTCCTTTCTATTTAAATGGCAGTTTTGGTTAGGGAAAAGTAACTACTAGTAACATACACACAGTAAATCATTTATTGCTGAAATACAGCTCTTCAAGGTACAGCATGGCACATCCATAGCACCAAGATGCTCCCTTTGAAACTGAGCTGGCAATAGGGATACTCCTTTACCAACATCAATTAATAAAATCCAAGTAGAATGGATCGCAAAATTTTGTGCCTGGATCGCAAAAATTTAATAAGCAAAGAAATCTGTCATATAAAAAATACTAGTTATATTTTTAAAGTGAAGCCTATGACTCTCATGTTTAATATATCAATGGAACGAATATCTGAGGGCTTCATTATCGTGCAATGGCAGTCTCAGCTTTGCCTTATCTTTTAATTAGACATCAAAGTGAAATGCAGAATACAAGTTGCTCCAAAGTCAAAACAGAAATGTCAAACACATTTCACAAATAGGTGTAAAAAACAAAAACAAGATTCTACACATCCAAAGAACTTTTACGGTTATGTATTAAACGTCATGTTAATGGATCTATGGCAATTTTCATAAAGCCCTTTGAAAAGCACCACATAGCTCTGTGTAGTGTATGACTTTGTCCCCTAGAAAAAAATTAACCAATCTGAAAAGACTTTTAGATTACTTATCTGAGGAAAAAGGGAGAAAATAATGGTAACTAGTAATGTAAGCTAGACACTGGACAAAACTGAAAAGGCATTTATAGTCTGTCAAATATTATATTAACTACTAAGTTAAACATTTTATTATGAAAATTTTAAAAATCTCAGAAAAGAATACAATATGATTTTAAGTGAAAAGAAGTACAGATGATAATAATCACCTTCAAGAGAACATGCCAATATAAATTCAGTAACCCCTGGGTGGGTTCAAAGGGGTAATTCATAATAAATATGGCTATGCAAGAATAACAGGGGCACATTACCTACATAAGTGATCTCAAGACAACGGATATAATGTATAAAGCAGAAAATTCTTATTGGCTTGTTTTAATTTTAGTTTTTTAAAATCACTAACAAAAAAGTACATTGTCATTAAAGGGAAATTTCTGTTGAAGTAGAAACTTAAAAACTCCTGTTGTGTGTTAGTCTAACTTCCATTTTGGTTCTATGCAATAAAGCTGTGTTACTAGGTAAGTAATACTATAAATGAAGTCCTTTTGAACTTCCTTTAGGAAACTTACTGGCCTAGGTATATAACAGAGAGCTACATTTTTAATACAATGTGGAAGTCATAACAAAGTCCCAATAAATTTAATTGCTCAAGGTAATCCTTTCATATGGAATGAAATTACTACAAAATGGCATCACAGCCTTAAAGGAATATTTTAGATCACATGTTATTACCAAACTGGAAAAAATGGAGATTGAAATCACAGACATTAACATCAGAAAGCTATTTGTAAATGTGATTGTACCATAAAGACATGGCCATAGCTAAAGATAAAGTGAGAACTACCAAGTTCACCAGTGAAAGTTACCTGAATTTTATCATAGATGAATGATATCATACTCATCATTTTTTTAAAACAAAAAGCTAACCAAATATCACAAATTCTTCTGTTCATAGATAAGAGGTAGTGCCTCCTCCGCCTGTACAGCCTGCTCCTGGTTATTCCCCACCTCTCCATGCCATGGCACTGGGGCTACTGCCAGGCCCCACCCACCCTACCCACCCTGCCCACCTGCAGCCCTTCCTGCATGGCAGGGCGCTGCTGCTCTAATTCTGAGAATATGATACCATTCACCCATGGAACACCACATGTAGAAAAAGCTATTTCTACTCCCTAATATCCCCTAAATAATGATATGCCTATTGAAGAAATAAATCCATTTCACTTTTAAATGGATTTTAAATGGCATTTAGCAAAAAGTGGTATTTTTTTGGTTATGATCCACAAAAGCAAGCACTGCAATAGATCTAACTCGTAACTCAGGAAACAGGTTTGAGAGTGGACAGAAATGCTGCCTCTTCTCACCCATCATTTAAAGAGCCTGCTCTAACTTATAAATGCTTTTAATTAGACAATACATACTAGGCAAAGAAACTTACAAATCGTAACTCGTTTCAAAGTTTCATTATAGACATAACAAGGGGTACAGGAGTAGAAATACAGCCTTTTATATTTACAAATATTTGAAAGTCTCAAATAACTGACTAGGAAATACACATGAAGAGTAAGAAACTTTTTGACTTCATTGTTGTGTGGAGATTTTGTAAAGACAAAAAATAAAGAAAAAGCAAGATAAAAACTATTAATATAGGTGTAATTTAAATAAAAGAAAGTTACGTAAACCAAGAAAGAGTATCATATACATATTCACCACATTTTAGAAAAATTATGGTTTGTGTTCATTAGATGAAAAGTCTCTTCAAAGGTGCTTTCTCTTCCTCTGTGAAAGAACCCCTTACCCCAAAGCCACAAAGTGAAATCTACCATCAAAGAACGCTAAAACCCACTGCCTATTTATTAGGTATCTAGAGCTGCAGATTCATCCTGTTCCAGTTACAGGACACTCATTTGCAGCAAAGGCTACTTAGAGAAATTTCACACCTGCTGATGTGTGTCGGACTACATCTTCCTATAACTCGTTCCAGCATTCTTCCAACAGACGTGCATGCTGTTTCTCCTGGGAAACAGCACATGGAGTCCAAGCACTTGATACCTGCATTTGTTTCAGTAAGCTGGAGGGGTTGAAGCAGAAAAAAAGCTAGTTATTTATAGATATGGACTTCTAAAAGCATTAAAAAATTACACTAAGCACTTTAAAACGGAAAGTAATGTGTACCAATTTATATTTTTTCTATAATACAGGAATATGTATAAAAGGCTCTAATTTACTAGAATAACATTTAAAAGCCTTGTGTCCTAAATGAGGTCTAGTAAAATTATATAAAAACAAGGAGCTGGACATTATTAAAATCTATAAAGACAGGCTTTTAATATCTTATTTTAATAACTTATTTTGGTCAAAATGATTATGTCAATCACTCAGAAATTTAATAAATTCTCATTCTTCACATAGTTTACATTTAGGTGAAATACTTCTGCAATTTCACATAAAATGTCTAGCCATAGAGACAAGTAGAGTACTCAGAAGTAACAGCAGGCAGGACCTAACCCCAACCTTGACTAACACACATGTAACACAATAGTGACAGCCAATAGTAGCAAACGCTTTGTGTAGTGTTTACTACGTGCCAGGCTCTAAGCACTCTACATCATATATCCACTCTGTGATGGTTTTTGAAAAAAGCATCATTTATCTTAAAATAGTAAATAAGTATTAACTATGTTAATTAAGTGGTAACTCTGCCCATAATCAGCTTATCCTGCTTTTTAGCAGTTAAACTGATGGCACATGGATTAAAAATTATCACACAAGCAAACAAGCAATAATATTATGATTTGCAATTGAACTTTCTGAAAGTATGCAAGATTCATGTCAATTCAGAAATAAACAACCCAGCAAGATAACTGAATTCCATACTACTGACAATTTCAATTGTGCTAAAATGAAGGGGAAATGGTCTGACCGTGGAGCTCAATGAATCCCAACCCTGGTTTTGCTAGTCAAGGGTGCTCCTACATTTCTCAGGGGCTGCTGTTTAAAAAAAAATCTTATTTTAATTCACTTTCCTTTATACATACAGCATTTTATATATAACAAATCTTTTGAAGATACAGAAGAAAGAAAACAATAAAATTAAACTGATTGGAGGGCTGCACTTCCACGAAGGTTGGGAATCACCGCATGTTGGGTGTAGGTATGGCAACAGAGGACACGTGCAGAGACACTCACAATGGACAGAAGAGATGGATGTGGTGGAACAAAAATAACCTGGGATTCTGAACATCAGCAATTGGTGATGTCCTGCAAGATCCATGCTCAGAGTGACACAGAACACAATTCCTGTTTGGCAAGTGCCTGATTGCTCCAATATCCTAGGATCTGCTAAACACTCAGAAAAAGCCAAACTTTACTGTTTTTTAGGTCTGTTTAGGGCACTGTTTCTCAAACTGTGTTTCATGTTTATAGACATCTCATGAAACAAAGTTTCTGTGGCCAATCAAGTCTGGAAAATACTAATTCAGTTCTAAAAACAGATTTTTTTTTTTTTTTGCTGACCAAGTCTTGCTTTATTACCTAGGCTGCAGTGTGATGGCATCATCATAGCACTCTGTAACCTCAAGTGATCATCCTGCTTCAGCCTCCCAAATAGATGGGACTACAGGTGTGCACCACTGTGCCCAGGTAATTTTTTCTAGTTTTAGTAGGGATGGGGGTCTCCCTGCTGCTCAGGCTGGTCTCCAACTCCAGACCACAGCAATCCACCTGCCTTTACCTCTCAGAGGGCTAGAATTACAGGCGTGAGCCACCTGACATGGCCCTAAACAGAGTTTTTAAGTTAAGGATTGTCAGTAAGTCAGGACAAATGGTCAGTCTCCGTGGGGACGCTTAAGATATTGTAATTCTCCCACTCATTTTCTCAATGAACCCTCTCCCCACTAACCCCTCAGCCAGAAGACATTAATCAACACTAGAAGGAATAGTTTGAGAAATGCAGATTTTAGTACAGAATTTCTTCAGTTTCCTGATTTTCTTTTTGGGTCTCTAGGCTCTGATTGATTGCTACAATACCTCCTTTGCAGCAATCAAGACTCATTGCTGCCTACTCAAAAGATACAGTTCTCAAAGGATAAAGTCTAATGCTCTAAGAAACCTTGAGGGCACACTATTCCCTGACCCCAGGCTGCCGTCCCTACTCTATTTCCCAGTGTAGACCCCACTGCAGCCAACTGGCAGTTTTCCCTGCCATGGGCATGTGTCAGGGCCTGCTGCCAATTACGATCATAATGCCGAACCCTAAACCAAAGTTCCATTTATACTCCATTATCTTCATGAAACTGCCCTTACCTCTCCAACCATGAGTAATCTCTTTCTTTCTAGATTCTATTCCACTGCATGTCTGTATCACTTAAATAGCACACACACTTAAAATTCGATATTGAGCAAGGTACTGGGCCAGTTTCCACCCTGCTCTCAGTCTAGTGAGTGAAAGGTAAAGAAGGATGTGTCAGAGAAGATGGGCCAGGAACCCATGCTGACAGCGTTGCATTAATAGAATGCTTACTGCACGTGTGCAAGCTACTCTGTTAGATGCTTTTCATGGATATTCTCATTTAACTTGTAGCAGGTCTTTGGAATGGGAACCATAATCATCCCCATTTTACAGATGAGGAAACAAAGAGGTGAACAATCTGTCCAAGGTCACCACGCAAGTGAGGCTGAACCTTGGTTTCTTTGATTCCCCTGCCTTCTTCAACTCTGCCATGAGGCCAACTGCTGAGACAACAGGCAGAGCTCAGACCCAGCTGTCGGTGGCACAGGTGGGAAGGCATGAAAGATTTGATGAAAAAGTACTAGAATACATATTTAAGGATGAGGGCATTTCAATAGCTGGTGATAGGGGAGAAAGGGCATACCAGGCTGAGTGAAAGAAATGAGTATATGTGCATGGGGGTGTGGTGTGTATTCAGACCAAACTTAACCTAACTAAAGGGTAGTATGATCCACAGATCAATGTCAATCCATAAACACTTTGTTACTGGCCCATGCAGAAATATGCATTTCTGGTCTGTGAGAGTAAGAGTTTAAAAAATCCCACAGCAATTTGACAGAATACTTTTATGACTGGTAAATCTAATACTAATTTTAAAATTGAGGCTTATTTTTAGTATCTCTTAAATTTCATTTCCTTAGTAATTCATTTTTATCATGTTTTGAAAAGTTTTGGTCCATGATAGACCAGAAATTAAAAACAAGATAACAAAACAAGAAAACAAACTGGTCCTTAGCCACATTAATTTGGGGAGCACTGAACTAGACCAGAAATTGTGAGTATGAATCCTGTCTCATGCATCTCAGTTTAACCACATGTGCTTTGCCCAAAGTTGATGCCCACTCAACTGACAGACACACTGAAGACAGCATCTAGAAGGTCAGCAGCATGGGGGACCACAGATACACGGGATACTGGTTAGGTCCGGCTCTGACCTTAAGGAATTATCTTGCTTTGCATTCAGCATCTTTCACTTTTGACCCTAAGGACAGGTGTTAAAATATAGACAACCCCGAAGAGAAAAGAAACATCTTGAAATGTCAAAAATATTATAAAGAAATGATCTCTTCAGATCACAATTCAAATTAAACAAAATGTATTTCCTTTTTTCCCTAAAGAGGAAAAACTCTAGCTACTTTGAAAATACTGAATGTAGCTGGGTGTTGTGTCAGGTGCCTGTAGTCCCAGCTACTCAGGAGGCTGAGGCAAGAGAATCACCTAAGCCCAAGAGTTTGAGGTTGCTGTGAGCTGTGATGCCACAGTACTC